GATAGAAGGGGTAGTCTTTGGATGTTTGGTGGATACTCCCTTAGTCATGGACCATTGAATGACATTAGACTTTTTGATACTAAGAACAATACATGGATGCCTGTAACTGTAGAGTCTACACCAGAAGCATCGATGCCTCAAGGAAGATATTTCCATGCTGCTGAAATAGTTCATAGTAGGCAACAGATATACGTGTATGGAGGATTATCTATGAAAGACAAAGATATTTCAGGATTATCCAATAATACGTTGGATGACTTTTGGAAATTTAGTCTTCAAAATCAAAGATGGAGTCAAATAGTCCAAAATGAACTGAAAAGAGAACCACCACCTTTGGCAGGACATACATTAACTTTACGTAGAGATGGAGAATCCGAAAGTTTATTACTAATTGGTGGATTTAGTCCGAAATATGGCTATTTAGATACTGTATGGGAATTTAATTTAGAAACTGAAACTTGGGATACGATAAGTACAAGTGGAAATGGTCCTTTAGTAATTTATGGACATTCAACGGTATATCATAGTAAATCTGATAGCTTTTATGTATTTGGTGGATGCACGAGTAATATTAACAGAACCTTTCTTTTAAAAAAGCTTTATGCTTTAAATTATAGAAGTCGTAAATGGTCCGTTCTACCACCGTTTGAGGATGATTTCACCGATGGTAGCAGCTTAGTTAGTATTTATTATATTATTTCCATCTCTATACATAAAAATCATACAGTTTCAAACTTATCAAATAAAGTTGGAAAATATCTTTTACTTTTTATTCGTTACAGCCTCAAGCTAGATTTCTTCACTCGGCTGTTACAACCGAAGAATATATGGTAATATTTGGCGGTCGACAGAATCCTCGAAGTACTTCTGATTCTTTAATAGCATATAAATACTCGTGCAACTTGTGGATTCGATTACTGACAAATGATATGGAAATAATTGGTAATCCACCACCGCCATCATACGCGCATGCTATGACACACGCTGATCCAGAATCTAATGCTATTTATGTTGTTGGTGGTTTCGATGGTGGGATTAAGAGTCACGTTACTTTGATTAATATACCTGAAGACTTGTGCAATCTTTGGACAAACAAAGTTGCATGTAGAAAATATTTTGGTTGTTCCTTCTGTTCTGTTACTACAATTTTAGGGACTAATGCTTCCTTTTGTTTTTCCAATGAAGTATCACTTAACAGAGGCGACAAGTAAGTATTTTTTTCTTTTCCTTCTTTTTTATAAATAAATATTATTTATTACAATAAACTTGATCACAAAACCTTCTCCCTCTTCGCTTTTTGATTTTAGATGTGATATTAATGTGACTCAAGCGCAAAGATCAAATGGAGTATTTTGCAATTCTGATTGGATGACTAGTAGGAAATGTCAGAACTTTAAAACTTGCACAGAATGTTTAGCTGAATGGCCGTATTATAAAAATAATGAAGCTATTTGTAAATGGTGCACTAATTGTCCACATGGTAAATGTATACCACATGAAAAAATTTGCGACGAGCAAAACAAGTGCAATGTTAGACAAATTTCGATAGATGACGTTAAACAATGCAGTGAATTGCAATGCTCAGCTAATGATTGTGAGAAATGTAATACCCTTGGAAATTGTGTATGGACTAGACAAGTATTAAAAACTTGTAAGTAGTATGGCATGATTTAGGATTTCATCATAATTCTCGCTACTATTATATTATATTATAGAGAATATTATTATTTTTTAGCTGAGTTGGGAGTTGAAAAAGTGACAGGTGAGCCGATATACAATTGGAATTGCGTACCGGCAGATATCTTTGAAAAATCAAATATAAAAATGATCAACACTCAGTGTGAAAAAAGATGTGCAGAACACAAAGACTGTAGAAGTTGTTTGAAAGAAACAGAAGCTGATGGAGGTTGGAAACAATGTAGATGGTCCACACAACTTAACGAAGTTTGTATCATATAAAATATAATTGATATTGTTTATTAATATTAAATATAAATAAAATATTCTCTCTTTCTCTCATTGCAGTGTATTTCACCGTCGTATCAACCACTTTATTGTGCTGGTGGAGTGTGTGGCTTAGTATTACGCAATTCAGACATAGATCATTGTCCAGAACCATGTTCAGTTTTTATGCAATGTAGTACATGCTTAAAACATTCCCATTGTGGTTGGTGTTCTATGGATTCTGCTAATATAACTGGACAAGGTATTTGTACGGAAGGATCTTTAGAAGCACCTACAGAACATCCAGCAGGTGGAACTTGCGAAATGATTTATTACGAACAGTTCTCTCATACTGAGCCACGTAAGGGATTTCTTGAACATTAATGAATTATAGAAACATTATGAAAGAACTACTGCATGTTATTGTTATAGTTTTATTTTCATACTTACAGCAATTTTAACTACTTTATTTCCACATCACTTAGAATTTGTATCTCAGGACAGTGTTACGATGACTTTGTCTAATTTTTTGATGGAATCACCATTTTCTTGGCATTATGTGCGTTGTCCGATGGAGAATGAATGTTTAAATGGTCATCATACATGTTCACCGAAAAGTGAAAAATGTTTTAACTTGGATGAGGGATTTGAATGCATGTGTGGCGACGGATATAAGACAGAAATGTAATTTCTCTTCAAATAATGTATATACATATATATAGAGATATAAATATTATATAAAATTATTCTTTTCTGCAGCAGCAGCACATGGTCATTTAATGAGCCGGGAAGGTAAATATCACACATTTTTTTTCCAATGACAAATAATTGATTTCAATAAGAAAGAAATTGTTAAATGCAATATTTTTGTTTTAGGAAAATTTGTGTGCCAACATGTACTCAAGGTTGCGTACGAGGTACATGCATCGAACCAAACATTTGTCGTTGTGATTTTGGTTACGTGGGAGCTAATTGTTCCATTCAATGTCAATGCAATGGTCATAGTAATTGTGCAGGACCAGACAAATTAGATGTATGTTTAGAGTGCCATAATAATACGATGGGACCTCAATGCAGTAAATGCTTGCCTCTGTACGTTGGAAATCCTGCAGACAATGGACAATGTATACCATGCTTGGAATATTGTAATGGACATACACGTATATGTATTAATGAAAGCATGACTGTTCCGGTAATATTTAAATAGATGAAACAAAATTCATCATATTATAGAATAAAGTTTCAATTTGATTTTCTTCTTATCTCTCTTTTTTAGAATCCTAATTCTGTTGACAAAATGTCCATAGAACTATTGAAAAGACAATTGGGAGAAGGTCCTATAGCAACAGCTAAATGTGTAAATTGTGGGAACAATACAAAGGGGGATAAATGTGGAGAATGTATGGTGGGTTATTTTAGAGGAACAGAAGATCTACGCGATGTTTGTCGTCCGTAAGTATTTAACTTAATAATATTAAATAATAGAAGAATAATTCAGTAAATAAAAGAGACCATTTATTTGATATGTAGTTGCGAATGTCATGGTCATGGATTTACTTGTGACCCAGTGACAGGCGAAAAATGTAATTGTGGTAATAATACAGAGAGCGAACCATCATGCACTAGCGGCCCTATAAAAGCTACAAATATGGGTGGTACGCCATGTTGGATGGTTCAGTGCAGTAAGTGTAGAGAAAACTATGCAGGAACACCAACTATGGGCCATCAATGTTATAAAACTGTTACGGTTGATAACAAAATGTGCTTTGACTCCAAATTAATAGGTAAGTTTAATTTAACCGTATGAACAGTAATTATACACGTTTTAATATAGTACTTGCACTTTATACTTTTTATCGCGTTCCACATTTAAACTTTGATAAAGTATTATTCTTGTTGCAACTTTCTGTTCTGTCTGGAGGATTGTATGGTTTGTACACCTCCAACTATGAATTATCTATTTCATATTGCCATCTTTTTATCATCAAATGTAAATTCTTATACATTTAATTTTAGATGAGTGCAAGATGAAACCGAAACCATTGAATCCTGGACAAACTGTATTTTATATGGTACAACCACGATTTATGAATGTAGATATTAGAGTAATGGTTGACGTTACGCAAGGTGCCTTGGATCTTTTTTTGAGTCCTCGCGATGACTCATTCGTTGTTACATTAAATTCCTCCACAGGTTATCAAGATGTAAGTCCATTTAATTTTTTCGATTGCCTCGAAAAAAAAAAATTAAAATTTTTACGTTGTAATTTTATACGTTTATTATAGAAACAATATTCTTGCTTTAGGTTGAATTGGATAGCAGATTTAAATGTATATATAAGTGCAAAGATCATCATGATTCGTGGTTAGAAGATTCACAACAACGTAGTAAAATTAGGATCGTGGAGTTTCATTCACGCAATCCTTTTTCTTCTTCAAGTAATAATAGTACTGCAGAACCAAGTTTGACTTCTACTGGTCTTCACTATATAGTGATAGAACAATCCGCAGATAAATTTGCTACATTCAAGACAATCGATAAAAGCAATACATTTTTAATTATCAGGAATCTGACAAATCGATTAGTCCTAACACTACCACAAGATAAACATGAACTTGGTCAAACTAAATTTCATATTGCTTTAAGAGCAATCGATACATATAATTCAGATGCTAGCAGTAGAGCTGCATACGGGATGATCTTTTTTCGGCAAGATCAATTACACATTGATCTTTTCGTTTTCTTCTCCGTTTTCTTTTCTTGCTTCTTTCTTTTTTTGGCTGCTTGTGTTGTAGCTTGGAAAACTAAACAGGCAGCTGATGTACGTAGAGCACGGAGAAGACACGTCGTGGAAATGTTACATATGGCTAATAGGCCATTTGCTACAGTGACCATCCTTTATGACCGAGATGGGAACAATTGTAGTCCAAGCTCGCCGCAACGCAAAAATAGACGTAACAGAGCTATAAGTTTTCACAATGATGTCAGGCCAGTTGCAGTAGAACCGACTGATGATGGTGTTGCAGCTGTAGCTACAGTTTTCATCAAACTACCCGGTGGACAACAAGCTCCTGTTAAATTAGCTCTTGGTAGCTCATTAATACTTCTAACCAGGGTCTATCCGGTTAATAGCAGAGTGTTCCTAAGGCGCAGAAACAGTCATGCATAAAGTCAGGTTAGTATGATTATGTATTATAAATTAATGCTTCTGTAATATTCACGTAATAACTTGTTTTCATCGCGACGGATTATTTTTCTTAGATATTATTAAAAATCTCGTTAACTGATTCTAATACATCATTTTATTATGTATTTGAATCAAAACTATTTTCGTTTTTTAATTTTATGTTTATTTTCATTTAGACAACATTTCAAGCATTCATGAATAAGAATCTATCTTAACGAATGAGCTCTAATATTGTATAATAATATATAAAAAATATATATATATATATATATATATATGAGCGGGAAGGAACTAGAATATAATATATTGTCACACCATTCCAAACGGAGACTGTATCTTTGTATATAATATTGTATAATTATGTATTCATTCATGTTCAACACCTTCTTATAGAAATACATTTTACATTATGTGATATGTTTTAAATCGTATGCTCCTTGTCAATTGATATCGCGTAATTTTATGTTTTACTGTTATGTTCTTTTATCGGACTATTAAATGTCATTCTTTCTACAATAAATGAATAAACATATATAAATGTAAAAAAAATCAAGCAAGTAATAATAATTGCTGTCATTTAATTTGATCGCATAACTCGTTTAATATTGAAACATAAAAAAGAATAGAAACACATGTCTTAATAAATTAAATAAATTAGTTTATTTATATTCTTTATGCACCAGTGTCAAAAAATGCAAGATTTAAGTCAATATTTAAATCACATAATATAAAATTGTGCACGCAAAGATGTAGATACTTGAAAAATATTTCTGTGCCAAATTATAATTCGAATATTTCCAATTTTTTATATATCATAATTTATAATTACCAGAGTAAGTTATCATGATTAGCATTAAAATAACTAATTAAAATTTCTAATTTTATAAAAGAAAAAGTATTTATTTTATTGTTATAAATATGTATCTTTTAATAAGGCACATCATGTTTTCCAAAATAATTTGTATATATATATATATATATATACATATATATATTATAATGTAATTTTTTTTTAGAGGTATATAAGGATAATTGAATTTGCAATTTTTTTTTATTTTTATGGTTTAATAATAGAAAATGATAATGCTTAAATACAAATTTTACATAATATTACTTTGTATAGTAAAAATTACGAAATTGTAGATTTTTATTAAAGATGTATGATAAATATGAACAAACACATATGGAAATTCTTGATTTTTACTCATATTACTAAGATGAAATGTATAAAATCTAAAACCAACTCCATCTAAAAATAATAAGTCAGAATTATTATATTAATCAAAATATATACAAACAAAACATGAATGTGTTAACAATACAGCTGTATTGCTAATGAGAACTGATAAAATATTAGTAAGAGATATATTAGTACAGATATGTATAGCAAAGTATCTGCAATACATATGTAACTAACATATCACAAAATGAAAAAATGATTTTCTTTGTTATTAAAAATAATATTCTTTCGAGAATTATTAAATGGACAGGCGAATAATATAATATATATCTGATATGTTGATATGTTGAATCTCAATATCTGGTATTTTTCTATATCTTATTAACTTAGTTCTACATTACATTATATATTATTTGAATATTTTTAGAGTTTTTAATACATTTCTTTCGTAATTAATTAATTTCTGAGCTTTTTTCTTCTTTTTTGTTTTGTGTAAATGCACATGTGATGCTATATGTAAAATGTTTTATATAACATGTTTTAATAATTTAGATTTAGTAAGAAAAAAAAGAGAAAGACAAAGAAAGAAGAAAATTTATACTTGAATGTAGACAATGCATTTTATAATTAATGTTTGAAATATTGTATTACCTGCTAGACAGGAAAATAAAAATAAAGATTCTACCAAACAATGACTTATATATATATATATATATATATTTATTTAATAATATTAAATAATATATTTTATATATCCGCTCGACTATATGCTAGTTTCTCTATATTATTTTCTAATATATTTATACCTTGACCAAGTGCAAAATATGATGGACCAGGATATGTAATCTCAGCGCTACCCAAACATAATTGGCCAGAGTATAAAACAGCATACTAAACATAATAGTTGCCATTAATGCTATTTGAAAATAAATCATTTGTAATTTTTAAAATGATAATGATAGAGACAACTTACTTGTCCTATAGTAACAGCTCTTAAAGGTTTCGAAAGTTGAATAATCAAATGATTGCTTAATGTTTTAAATACATTACAAGCAATAAGTTGTTTTCTATGTTGAAAACGAAAATCGCAAATGAAAATATGTTCGCTATCTGTAAGCTCTGGTGGTTCATTAGCAATCCAATGTGGATTTTGAGTTACTAAAAGATCTGTATATAAAGCTGGATGATTTGTACCTTTGACCTAAATTAGATATTATGTATATACTCTATTAATATTTTGTATTTACTATAATAAATATAATATAAATACTTACTACAGTTATAATATTTGTTTGAAGGTTTTTCTGAAATACAAAATATGGATCTGTCAATCCAGAAATTTTACACCTCTGTCCAATGGTCCAATGATGGATACCTTGATGCTTTCCAACTACTTTACCATTATCTAAATCTACGAAATCTCCATCTTTGTTTTCTATATACTAGAAGAAAAATAGAAAATTGTTTAATTGTTCTGTTTATTATTATGTAGATTTAGCTTTTATTTGTAAAATATTCAATCGAATTTGAAATTATTTCTATACCTCAGAAATGAAATGTTGAAATTCACGCTTACCAACGAAGCATATACCCATGCTCTCTTTTTTTTCAGCTATTTCAATTAATCCAGCTTCTCTAGCAATTCTTTTTACGTCATTTTTTAAATATTCTCCAAGCGGAAACATACAATATCTTAATGATTGTTGCGAGACTTGAGATAAAAAAAAAGTTTGATCTTTATTAGGATCTAATGCTTTTAGCATAAGGACATCTAGAAAATATCACTGCAAATCAAATATGCACTTAAATATGAACATATATATATACACACTCATATTTACTTACTAAAAATACTTATATATCATAAATATGAAACTTACCAGTATGTGGTTTAAAATTTTCAAGATAAGATCCAAAACTAGTTCTTACATAATGTCCAGTTGCCACTGCATCTGCATGAAATTTAGTCTGTGCGAGATGAATAAAATGATCAAATTTGATATTCTTATTACATATAATGTCAGGATTTGGTGTAGAACCAGATTGATATTTCTCCAGAAGAGTGCTGTAGAAAATAAAAAGAATGCTCATTTGTAAGATCTACTAGATCTTATTATACGTACGTATTTCTTTTTATTAAACATACCTAAAAACATTATTCCAATACTCCTTGACAAAATTGACTTGAAATAATGGAATATTAAGTTTTTCACAAACTTTTTTGGCATCATTATAATCTTGTTCAGCAAGACATACTCCTTTTTCGTTTAATATATCCCAATTTTTCATAAAGACACCCGTAACGTTGAATCCTTGAAAAATTAATATACATTAATAATTTGACACAAGTGACATGAGTCTTGTGTTCAATAAATATTCACCTTTTTTTTTAAGTAACAATGCTGTCACAGAACTATCTACTCCTCCAGATATGCCCACAACAATATTTTTCAACATTTTTTATAATTATATATATCATATACATGTAATTTATTTCTGCCTTTATCAAATATTCCCTCAGTGGAATATTTTCATTTGCAATCCTAAGAAATATTAAATAACCTTATTAGAAACAAAATCATATATATAAATTGAAACAATTTTTTTTAAGGCAAACTAAACTATTCAATTCAATTAATTATATGTTAAAAGAGAGAGAGCAATTATGAATTATACTGAATATACAATATATTTAAAAGTACATACAGATGTATTTTATAATATTTTAATAAAATCGAAAAGGTATGAAAATAATCGAATAATCGAAAATAAGTCATATTATAATAATAATTTATTAGCCACAAATATATGGCAATAAATATATGCTAATAAATGGTATTCAAGAAATAATAATATTTATACAGAAAATATTTTTAAATATTCATCCATTTTATTTTGATCAAAGAGAAAATACGTCGATAAATGAAGTTCTTTACTAGCTTTCTTTTCATCTTTTCATCGAAACAAACAGTAAATCAAGTGGTAGTATTATGTTTAAAAGAACATAGAGAAATAAAAATGTGATACAATAATAGAACAACGTTCGATTTTGTATCATACCTATGTCTCTGTACTTGAATGTAATCTACTTCCTCTAATCGCTTTAATCGAGTCTAAGCAAATTAAAGGTTAGAATTTTACGGTGTGAACGTAGCGTTAATATCGGTACCATGTGGTACCAAGAGGTGCATACATCCGATAGGTGCCACTTTGCCGATCCTTATGGATAAAAAGAAGTCGAAGAAGAGATGGAGAGAGAAAGGGAGAGAGAGAGAGATAAAGAGTGAGAAAAGAGAGAGAGAAAGAGAAAGAAAAAGTGTGTGTGTGAGAGAGAGAGAGAGAGAGAGAGGAGAAAGAGGAGTCATAGGATGTAAGGGTAGAGAATGAAGTTGGAGGGAGGAAAGAGAAGATACAGGACATATAGCTTGTCGTTGGAGCGTTCAGCTGCATTCGCTTCATATTTTGAGACTTGCGCGCCATAAATCGACCTGCCAAAGCAGAATCGACCAATCAGAGTTCGGCTTTCTCGTCGAAGAACCAGTAAAGCTCGTTGACAGATACGCAACGCCTACTTCTACCGAGTCGTACACTTATCGTGGCAATCCACAGTTTAGAGATAGATACGACGTATTTGTTACTTAATATTAAGATTGAAAGACAAATTTTTCGCAATTAAACACGCATTTTTTCATAAACGCGCTTCATTTTTTATGAACGTACGGGGTTTTGCGCAGTTTTCATGACCCACATTAATATGGGGAGTTCGCTCGCTTTTTGGAACAGCTGTTGGGTGACGAAGATGGCGACTTCTTGGAGAGACGGGTGGGGAGGGGAATCGGTCGACGGTTGGATATCTTGTGCGATGCGCACGCATCTTGGCGGCTTCGCCGCCACGATCACCAGGGCCGTATCATTTTCATTAATAAACATAGGATTTTATTCTTTTACCATATTCAAAGAAAATATCAACAATTGCACTCGCCAAATAAGTAAACGATAATTATGATTTTGATAACAATCTATCTGTGCATTTCTATAAGCAAGAATTTACTTTTGCTAATGTTTTTCTCCAAATTTTCCTATCAAATTTGAATACCTTTTCTCGCTCTGTAATAGTGACGAAATTAAGTCGAGTTCACGTTAGATGATAGTGTTGAAATTGACGATGTATTCGCGCATAGAAACAAATCGTTCTATATTATTCGTTGTTGAATGCGAATTACGAAGAGAAACTTTAAATCCATTAAAATATCGTAATTATTATAAAAGATACGTTCAAATTTGCCGTGCTTCGTGTATGCTTTTGTAGTCGTTTAATTATCGTATTTAGAGTTCTTTCATAGATGAGAAATGAGTACGTCATAATTTCTTGTTCTTACATTGTGTTTCGTTGGCAATAAATATCACAAATTGAACTTCAATAAATTTGCTAAATCTTTTAGAAATAAATTAGGCATAGAATTTTGAGAAAGAAGGAGAGGCAAATATGAAAAAGGGAGCATTAATTTGATGAAAATATTTACTCGTAGATACTTAAAGGGTTTGTAGAGGAACACCAACCGCGCATCCGTTAATACGATCCTGCAGGGTTCCCCTACTCCTCCTCGATATCTCCCACCATTCGACTTTCCCCGTCCCGCTAGGCGGCCAATCGGTTCCTTGTTTGCCATACAAAATCCAATAGTTTGCCTTGTACCTTCGTGCAGTGCGAGAATGTATTTCGTATTTTCTACGAATTTCGGCGGATAGCGCGGTAATTCTTTCAGTAGCTCGACGTGTAATTGCGAAAATGTGCATTCTTTCGTGTCTATTTACGCACACTACACGATTTCGATGGTCTTAAGAAGATATCAAGAGAAATAAGCATAAGAGCAGGAGGCAAAGACAGAAATTCCGGTTCAATTTCGTGATAGAAGACCGGACGCCCGTTCTTGCAAGAAGAGCAAAAAAAGAAGAAAAAGTTGTAGAAAAGAAGCGAACGAAAGGAAGGAAGAGAAGAGGAGGAAGAAGAAGAAGAAAGCAGCTTCTCTCCGGTTGGTTTGATAGAAATAAAGAAAAAAAAAAACCTTCGCGTTTTACCGCACACTGCGACAACGACAATAGCTATTACGACGACACAACGACATGATACGACACGATACGACACGAGGGACAACGGAGGACGAGAACAACGGCGACGACGACGACGACGATGTCGTTGAAATCGACGTTGACGACGATGATGGTGCGGTAGCGACCTGGGAAAAGGGTCTTTTCTGTGTATTGGTAGTGCGTGTTGCCTCCGGTATCGCGGGAGAGACAGGGAGGGGGAAGGGGTTTGGGGAAACAGAAGAGGGCAAGGTGGGGAAGGAGGGGAAACAGAGAGAGAGAGAGAAAGCGTGTGTGCATACGTATGGCTCGTATCTAGTAAGAGAGAAAAAAGAAGTGGGGGGGGGGAGCGATACACAAAACCGATATCCCTCGCCCGTAAGCTATTCGGGAAAATGTGTTATGTATTTACGTAGAATATTGCGTAACATGTGGACCGGGAAGTATTTGAAAACGTGCAACACTGACAAGATTCTTCGTTCAGCTTGGTGCGCTTCCTTGGGTGTTTCGCGAAAATCAGGACCGTATGCGTCTCTTACAGCTGGCCGTCTACCGGCACTCTTTCTTTATTATCATTTCTGTTTCTTTAGTTATTTGCGAGCTTTGATATAATTCTGCTATAAAAGAGGAAGAGAAGAGAATAAGACAAATGTTTTGAAGAAAAAACGACAAAGACGACGATGACAAAGATTGTAACGATAAATAGCTAAAGAATGTAGACAGAGAAAAAAAAGTAAAAGGACAACGCACCTCTCTTTCAACCAAAGAATTAACTGTCGTGCATAATATATTACTTGTCGTTTCCGCCGTTCCAAAGAAATCATTTCTTTGTAATTTCTCTCTTTTCGAGTTCGAATTTGTTTTTTTCTTCTCAGTAGGGGAGAATATTCTCCAATAAAAATTCCTATCTAGGTATTTCAATGTTTCTTTTGTTTATTTCGGAAAGGAGCTTTTTAAATTTCCAGCCATGGTCGTTTTCGAGTTTTCTGCCCCCTCTTCTCTTTCTCTTTTTTTTTTCTTTCTCTCTCTCTCTCTCTCTCTCACACACACACACACACACACCGTCTTCTATTTCTACCACGCGAGGTCACGCGCGATAAGTAAGTTCTTCTCGCTTTGCTCGTTGGCGAGGAAGGTGCAGAGAGGCAGGGCGTAATTAAGTTTCTCTCTCTCTCTCTCTTTTTGTATATCGGTACTACATGCGTGTCGTAGGTTACGAATTAGAAACTATGGCTACGATTATTTTCTTCCAAGAAAAAATGAAAGAAGAAAGACGGAAATGGAGTAGTAAAAGAGAATACGGATAGAGGAATGTCGCTCGTGATGCGTGCAACACAGCACCCGACATACATGCCGCTCTTTCATCTTTGTGAATGAAGTAGAAAGAAGTTCTCTCTCGTTCTCTTTCTTTACATTTTTTCGTCGGCAGGGAGCAAGAGGGGTAAAGTATCTACGTTGAGATGGGGATTAACGAGTAGTAGTCGTGTTTCTAGTTCGGCGGCTCTTCGATTCGTTGGTTCGTTCGTCGTTTGTCCGTTAGTCCGTTCGTCCGTCCGTTCCTTCGTCGCTGCCGCGTCACGATAAAACGACTTATGTATGTATGTATGTATGTGAATAATGGATGATTGGTGGGTAAGGCGCGCTTCTTCGATATCCTCTTTTCCGTCATTTTTATTTTTGTGCAATAAACACCCTCTTCTCTTTGTTCGTTTATTCTTTCTTTGATGATGACGACACTTTTTGATTATACTAGATATGAACAACATCAAAATAGCAATTAGTTACAGTTAAAAACAATTTTAAACATCAAACTGTTTGACAGATAAATGAAATAGTTATTAGAATCAAGAAGATATAATTTAACGCTCAATATCGATCCATCGAAGCCTGTCGTGCTTCCGACCTTATCGCACTTGTAACACCATTATTAAACGCATCGAATTTCGCGGCTGTACGCTTTTGCCACACTACACCACCACTACACCACCGCCACCATGATTATTCTTTTCTCGCTGCCGTGAATATAGCGAAAAACATCGCTCGAGTGTAGCAGAAAGCAAGCGTACAGCAGAATAACTAAAACCCCTCGGAGTGAATGTCACTTTGGCGCTTAAGTATAGGAACGCTCTTATGTATGTATGTAATGTGCGCGCGCGTCCTACCTACCAATCTATCCATCCATCCATTATTTATCTATATAAGATATGTAATGTACTGCGCGCGCATGCATATATTTACGTGCGCACAATCTTAGATTGTTGTTATACCGTCATGTATATCCCGGTACGACGACGCGATGAATTTCTAAGGTTAGATTTAAACTTGCGTTTGTAATCCGTCATTTTTTTTCAAAACGTGAAAAGCAATTTTGCCTTATTCAGAGTATCAGAAAAACGTAAGCTAGTTGAGAGAAAAGAAACATATCTAGAAAGTGAAGTAGGGAAAAGGCGTTGTGTCTTCCTTTTTTCCATACGCGCAAAGAGCCTACGTCGCATGTTTTCTTCCTTCTGAAGCGTTACATTTCTGTTCGCGAAACAATGTTTTTAAAGGATGTTTCTCTATTAAATTAGTCTTGTTTCTTTTCTACATATTTTTATTCAAGTTGTTTTATGGTGCTCATAGTGGCTTTGTGGCGATTGTGTAGTGGTGAAGAAGGTTGCACGAATCACCGGGATGAAGTTGTGTGCGTGAGCATTTAATCGTATTAGTAAGGAAATATAGGAATAGCATTTTATAAATTACTAATATTTTCAATATTTAGTAATAATTCATACATTCACCGTAATAAAGTATGTATGTGTTTACGTTTGATTTTATCGTAAATGTGATTTTTCTTAAATTTAGTTTTTTTTTTATAAATAATGTAACCTATATGAGCATGCATCTTTAAACGAGATATTTGATTTTGTTTGTTAGAAATATTGTTCATCTTTTCTATTATTATATATTTTAACAAAATAAAATAATCATGCCAATATGCTTCATATAATCTGATTGATTATATATTTTTATACAAGTATTTTTTAAATGAAAACTGATATACGTTCTGCAATTTTTAATCGCAAGTGATTATATTTGAATGATTTAAGAATTTCATGAATTAAAGATTTAATCAAATCGTTCATCGAATTCGAACAATAATTGATTAAGGAATTGATTAACATAACAATAATTATTTTAATTTAGAATTGGAGTTTTTATTGGGATACGATTTTTTTGATTATATGAAGAAAGAGATAGAGTCGTTTAACAACAATTCCTAGTTAACGATTTAAATTTGAATTCTTCGTATTAGTGAATTACAGGAAATATAATGAATATTAACAATGGAATAATAGAGAGAAAATGAGAAGGAGAGATGAACAAATTTTATGTATATACTGAAATGTTGAATAGCTATTAATTAGGTATATAGACATTATGGATGTGAAAATAAAGTACATTGTTACAGCCTCCCCTATGTGATTTGCCATGAAACGCGTTCGCGGGCTGGATGAAATAGCGTCATCAGCAGCAACGTTAAAACCTTCATCAGTGAGCGGAGGAAGTGGTCTAAGCGGTGGTGGAGGATTAGAGTATCATTCAAGCAGTGGAATAGGCCTGATTGTACCTGGTCAAGCAGTTCGATCTGTTACTTCTAAAGAAATGCCGGGAAGTATACAATTTGGTACTGCCCAAGCTCAACAGCAGTATACCGGGGCAATTGTTGTACCAACTGCTACTCCATCCCCTATTAAAGTATGTTATATCGTCTTGATCTATAGAAGATCGTCATATCTATAAAATTTTATGTAAATTTAATGATTGTATGTAAAATTTTTCAAAAGAAAAGTTATATACTTTTTTAGGGAACTGGATCTGCAGGAGGACTTAATTCTACATGCAGCGGTACTAATGTAAATACAGGTGGTGGATTACATGGTGGAATAAGTAGTGGAAGCAATCACAGTATGGGTTCTCAGCAACCAACTACAGGATCGCAAACTCAAGTTCACACACAACAGCCAACAATTAGACATAAGGTTTTTATCATGCTTATTTAAGCAACCATCCATCATTATCGTTAACAATGGAATTGTTTTTTAGATACATTCAAGCAATGTAGCACCATTGGCATCTACTCCCCCAGGTCCTGGATTAGGTGGCGGCAGTGGATCTCAACAATTTCAAAGATTAAAAGTCGAAGATGCGTTATCTTATTTGGATCAAGTCAAGTACAAATTCAGTGATCAACCACAGGTTTGAATTTTATTTTTCACATTTTTTATGCACTAATAGTTAAGCCAGCGAATAGATAAGCTAATATTATATTCTTATTCTCTTTACAGGTTTATAATGACTTTTTGGATATCATGAAAGAATTCAAATCTCAGAGTATTGATACTCCAGGTGTTATTACACGAGTGAGCAATTTATTTAAGGGACATCCTGAACTGATTGTTGGTTTCAACACTTTTTTACCACCAGGCTACAAAATAGAAGTACAAGCAAATGAAAAAGGGTACGCATTCCAAGTATCAGTTAGTATTCCTAGTCCGACTGCTACTCATACAACAACGTTATCGCAACATCATTGTACGGTGAATGTTGGTTCACCACCTGTAGCAAGTCCGCCAACACAACCAGCAAAAGCACCACCAGTTTTACAAATAATGCAGGGGTAAGATCTCTAACGAATCTTCTACTTCTTTATATTTAATATAATTATTTGTACCAAAACTAATATTTTGTTGTTATATTAGGTTGGTGCTTAATAATTGCGGTTGTTGTTATAATCTTATACTCGATAATCTTATACTTAACGCTTATCTTTTAGTTGCTTTGTATTTAGTTATGCTCTAATAGTTAAATCAAATTGGTGCGATCGATTTTAATTTATATTATTCTCATTTTTCCTATTTTTCTATTTACGTCTATAAATTAGTTATGAAAAATTAGTCGGTAATAAGTACATTCGAGTGATTTTATTGAATGAATTAAAATCTGAATTTAAAGCAAGAGAAAGTTCTTTAAATTAAAACCATGCTTTTGATCATAAAATTAATTAATTAGCTTATGTACATTTAGATTTTGCTTTTGTAAATTTCGCGATGGAAAGAAAACTTTAACATTAAATTTTATTTCGAAGATATTTTAAAGCTACAATTATGTTAACGCCACCAACCTAATATTTGCTTTTCCAAAAATGGTATCCTTTTTTAGATCTGGGAGTATACATCATGCCTTGGCGAATAATATTTCCAACAGCAGTTTAACGGTTCATGCACCCTCGCCACCCCCTATTCAATCTTACAACAATTCTCATGTTAGTGCTGCACAAGCTCAGGCAGTAAGTCAAGCTCTTAGTCAAGCTCAAGATGGTATTCCGACCAGCGGCCAAACGCAACAAAGTCAACCTGTCGAGTTTAACCATGCTATTAACTACGTTAATAAAATTAAGGTTTGTTTTATCCTTTAAATGATAATAATAATAATAGAAATTTATGGATTAGATTTTGAATATACAGTAGATATTCGAAAAGAGAATTAAATGTTTATTAATTGTATATGTACAATGTTATTGTTTTCTTTTAGAATCGCTTTCAAGGTCAACCTGATAAATATAAACGATTTCTAGAGATATTACATACGTATCAAAAAGAACAACGTAATTTGAAAGAATCGGGTCATATAAGCGGTACAAGTACTGGTGGTAGTACTGCTACTAATGTTAAACATTTAACAGAAGCTGAGGTTTATAGTCAAGTTGCTAAATTATTTGAAAATCAAGAAGATCTACTTGCAGAATTTGGTCAATTTTTACCAGATGCGACTAATCAGCAAAGTTCGTTGGTGAGTCCTGCGATTGAAAGATGCATGTTCAATATTTTAAGTATTAGATACAAATATATATTAACTTTTATGTTTTCCTTATTTTCTTTTTTTTTTAAATTATTATCTACATAATAGGAAGAAGTAATTTTGTTTAATTATTAATATTAATCAGGACTAGTCTGCTATGTTTCAGAGTAACAAGACTGCTCCAGTAAGTGATCACACAACAATAATAAAGAAACCATTGAGTCTTAAAGCAACTTACAACAATTCTGCTAACATTTCACGAGATCTTCGGGAATCAAGTGGCACTTGTATATTGGAGCGTGATACCAGAGATCACAGAGATCGTGATCGTGAAAGAGATAGATCAGGCGTCCGAGAAATCAGCACTGGTCAAAAATTAGGTCACAGTACAGGCCAGCTAAAAAGGAGTCCATCATTTTCAACTTCTGTTACGGGAGGTAATTCTCACATTCAACATGGACCACCTCCATTAAAAAAGCACAAAGTAGCATCAATGCGAGATGTTACTATAGCTGAAGCTGGAAAATATGGTACATTGAACGATTATGCATTTTTTGACAAGGTTGGTATTTTTTTTTTTTCTTCTATTTAATTTTTCTCTCTCACTCTCTTTATATATATGGACCGTTTATTTTGAAAGTGGTGTAAGTCCATTTTAAAAAAAAAAAAAAAAAAATGAGATATCACGTAATTTATACTTAATTTAGTGTAAACTTTCTATTTATAACTAGTTAGTATTTAATTTCTTAAAAAATGTCAATGCTTTATCCAATTTAAAATTGGCCGGTAAAAGAAATTACGTAACCATTAATTATGAAAGTGGTGTAAGTCYAATTTCCATAGAAAAAAATAATATAAAAAAGAATTTCCTGTATACACCACAGGAATAATATGATATAAAATAGTGTAAACAACATAATAAATTCRTTTTACATGAAATGAAACGAGAGAATTTCGTTTCAACGAAGAACCTACAGAACGCAATCAAAAAACAGATAACAAGAAAAAACAATAAAAAAAGATAAATTGGTTGCAAACATTTTGGATAAGGTTTTGAAAAAGTGCACCCTATACTATTTTATATAAAATGTTGATGAAAGACACAAAACTGAAGACTTAAAATTTATCACCTATATGTCCGGAAAGACCAGTCAAAATTTGAAAAAATTGCCTGGTGTATTACGATGCTATGCCTATTACTTACGAAAAATATAAGAATATCAAGCAGTTATTACACTATATACCTTTTGTGCATCATAAATATTTAAAAACACTGTCACATGAAGAGCATAAATAAATACTACTTCTACTTTATTTCTTGTTATTGTTTGTAAAGAAAATTGGATTAATATGAAATATATTTTAAGTGATATTTGATTTTTCTAAACTGAAATTAAACGATTTTAACAGTTGACTAATTTTAAAAGTGGTATAAGTCCATTTTCAGCCTGTAAATATACATTATTTTAGTTAAATTAGCTTAAAAGTAATGTATATAATCAAATTACATATCGATAAATTAATAGAAATATTGTCAAACTTGATATAATTAATGAATATTTTTAAATTAACCAATATGCAAACCTTTAATTTTCTCAAAACAACAGAAAATGGACTTACACCACTTTCAAAATAAACGGTTCATATATTAACCCATTTGTACCATGCGTCTACTTTAGCTTTCTTGCCCAAACATCACCGATCAAATTCTCACAGATAGAAAAACTAATATTTCTTATGCGGAATAATCCGCGCTCGGTGATAGTAGGCAGTCGCAGCTCGCGGATATATCCGCGTTTGGTGATAGCAAACATTCGCGCTTGGATGCAAATGGGTTAATTTGTCTCTGTAATTAATTTGACTATTTGATTATTGATTATGTTGTAGGTTCGTAAGGCTTTAAAGTCACAAGAGGTCTATGAAAATTTTCTTCGGTGCCTTGTACTTTTTAATCAAGAAATCGTTTCTAAATCAGAATTGATACAATTAATTACACCTTTTCTTGGCCGTTTTCCGGAGCTTTTACGTTGGTTCAAAGATTTTCTGGGCCATTTATCTGATTCTTCCAATACATCAACAAATAATACAGGGAGCGGTCTAGGAGTCGAAGCACTTCCAAATAATGTGGCGCGTGGTCACCAAGAACGACCTCAAGGTGATTTAGCGATGGAAATTGATTATACAGCGTGCAAGCGATTAGGAGCTTCATATTGTGCTTTGCCTAAGTCTTATGTTCAACCAAAATGTACTGGTAGAACGCAATTATGTAAAGAAGTTTTAAATGATACATGGGTATCATTCCCAACTTGGTCAGAGGATAGTACATTTGTTACATCAAGGTAAATAAAACATTTTAAGATATTTCTCGATATAGTTTCTTTTTGTTTTTTAAATTAAAAAATTGTAAAGCTACAATATCATATAATGACTTTGCAGAAAAACTCAATATGAAGAATTTATTTATCGTTGTGAAGATGAAAGATTTGAGCTTGATGGCGTGATAGAAACCAATGCATCGACCATTAGGGTATTAGAAGGTGTCCACAAAAAGATGAATAGGATGAGCCAAGAAGAAATTCAAAAATTTAAACTAGATGATTGTCTTGGAGGTTATTCTCCCACGATACATCAACGTGCATTAAAAAGGATATATGGAGATAAAGCTGCTGATATTATAGAAGGTCTTAAAAAGAATCCTGTAGTTGCAGTACCAGTCGTTTTACGACGTTTGAAGAGTAAGGAAGAGGAGTGGCGAGAAGCTCAAAAAGGCTTTAATAAAATTTGGAGAGAACAGAATGAGAAATACTATTTGAAATCTTTAGATCACCAAGGTATTAATTTTAAACAAAACGATGTGAAAGCTTTAAGATCTAAAAGTTTATTTAATGAAATTGAGACTTTATATGACGAGGTTAGTATATCGTATAATTAATCTGTTCAAATTAATCTTTTTGGCTATTACCTGATAATTTTAATAGATATTGATATATGCTATTACAATTCTTTTATAGAGACACGAGCAAGTAGACGAAGGTACCAGTGATAATCAAGGAAACAGTGGTCCGCACTTAGTGTTACCTTATAAAGACAAATCTGTCTTAGATGATGCAGCTAATTTATTGATACATCATGTCAAACGACAAACTGCTATTCATAAAGAAGATAAACAGCGTATCAAACTCTTACTTAAGCATTTTATACCAGACCTCTTTTTTCATCAACGCCAAGAACTTAGCGACGATGAGAGAGATGAAGATGGTAGATATTATTCTAAATATATTTTAACAAACGAATAAATAATATCTATATATTGTATATATTAGAGTTAATGTTGTGAGATTATGCGGACTCTATAGAATGCCTGGGGCATTCTGTAGTAAATCGGGAAATCTGTGAAGCATTTGCACATCATGCACATAGTCCAGTGATTTCATAGATTGCCCAGATATTCTATAGAACGCCGGTTAATCTATAAAATTTGTTTCATTTGGCTGTTTTTAGAGATTGGGAAGGGGGAAGAAACTGAAGCAATTGTAAGCGAAACAAACCATTAAAATCTCCTTCCTTAAAATCATTTCCCTCAATCTCTAAAAACAGCAAAATAAAGCACATTTTATAGATTAACTGAAGCCTTCTGGTGCATTCTATAGAATAACTGCAATCTATACAATATCCGAAATTTGTTTTCATTTGCTTCGGGCATTTTATAAAATGTTCTTCGCGAACAGAAATTCTATAGAATGCCTGGGCATTCTATGCTTCTTCACATTAACTGTAACATATATACGGGCCAGTAATTTGTAACATAAGTAATAATGTAAAATAAGTCGTAAAATCAATTTTTTAAATTTTTGGCTTGCTCTGTTTTTATAATTACACACATACACACGCATGCATTTATTTTATATTAATTAATTGTTTAGATGACAAAGAGGATGTGGGTGTGGCAGCATGTAGTAATTCTCAATCTATAACCATGTCATCGCCACATGGTGGTCTTCAAGCAAACAGGAGTAAGGCCCCACTTTCCCCAGTCCTGTCTTCCACTTCGGTTAAAGTTGAACCTGATATCAAAATACCCATGCATGCCCTATCAAATGATCCTGAAGAGGCATACACTCTTTTCATGGGCAGTAATAATTGGTACCTCTTTTTGAGGTTACATCACATCCTCTGTGAAAGATTAACTAAGATGTATGAGAGAGCGGTTACCCTTGCAGAAGAAGAATCTAGATACAAACAGCAACGTAAGGAGAGTACTGCTGTGGCTCTTAGGTTAAAACCAAAAAGTAAGCAAGTCATTCCAAGTTTTTTCTATTAGGGAAATTAAATATATCTGGTTTTTATTTTATAACATATAGAAATATATCTTTTTTATTCAACATAGGTGAAATAGAAATCGAAGACTATTATCCTGCCTTTTTGGATATGGTGAAAAATGTTTTGGATGGAAATATGGAGAGTACGGCATATGAAGATACATTGCGTGAAATGTTTGGTATACATGCATATATTGCTTTTACTTTGGACAAGGTTGTGACATATGCTGTGAGACAAGTATGTATAATATTTTTTTAGTAAATCATTATTTATTTATAGTATAAATTTTTCTATCTTTTGTTCTTTTTCTTGTATTTTGTGTACATAATAGCATTTTTATCACTGCCATATATTAAATGCTAAAATAATATATAATGCAATTTTTATAGTTGCAGCATTTAGTGTCCGATCCTATATGTCAACAATGTATGGAGTTATTTCAAAGAGAACAACGTCAACCAAAAGAAAGTAGTGGAGCTGGTGGATTATGTGTTACAGCTTATATGAGGCTTGGTGCTGAACTTTCGTATCAGCGTAAAGCAGAAAAAACAATGGCTGATGAAAATTGTTTCAAAATATATATAGTAAGTAAACATTTTGCGATATATATGGACTGCATAATTGCAAAAGTATATTTTCCTCCTAAATAAAATAAGTTATATCAAAATATTTATTCACAATATGAAGGAAAATAAGTTTATTTTTTTTTAATTTCAAATGATATAAGTCTAGACATTTGTTTGATTTTATATCATTAGTTATAAATTTAGAAATATTTCTAAGTATATTTCTTATTACATTTTTTTTTACTTCAAATGAATATCTTTTACAGAATGACTTAATCAATATAATTAATTTTATTGCAAACAATTATGGATATTTTTTGTAAGATTAGTAATATTTCATATCATTTATGCACACTTATATACAATTGTTAACAATATTCATTTTGACAATATTATTAACATGCAGTGTAGATTTAATTTTATGTGAATATTATTTCTTTTTATATACTGATTCGAAGTATCTAATATAAAAATAATTATTTTATTATATATCATCTATTTATCAAATATTTGGTGTAAAATAGTTGTTTTGTATTACAGTATAAAAAGGATTGTAAAATGACAATGGAACTATTGGATACAGAAGGTGATGAGGCAATGGACAGTGGTTGTAGAGAGAAAGAAAGAGAAGGAGTTATGATATCTGAAAAATGGTCAACTTATGTGGAGAGGTTCTCTGCTCCGCCTGGTCAAACTAGCCCGAAAGATACTTCTGCTGCGGTAGACAATGAGCCAACGACCAATCATCCTGTGAGTAGTGACCAGGCAGCAAGGGGGGTTCGGGGCAGAAAGCGCAAGAACACTGACATTAGCAAGAAGGTATAGGATCCACATCCCTTTTCATAATCATTGCCAACCTTCGAATTTACATTCACTTGTATTTTGGTGTCTGTGATCGGAGTTGTAACATTATTTATCGGTTTTAAATCAGTGACCGAAATACAAACAACAAATCTATTTTAAGAAATTAGTATTTTCTTTTTCTTTTTATGTTAGGGCTTAAAAGGCAAATTAAAAGTTAATTAACTAAAAGTAATAATAAATAAATAAATAAATAAATA